AAGGGGGCTCTGTCGCCTTCGCTGGCGGAAGGCTGGCGAGCGTAAGCACGAGGGCGGCTCCGCTGGCGGAAGCAGCAGGAGTGCGCCCCAGGAGTTGGCAGTCTTTTGGGATCCATGCTTCAGTGGAGTGGGCCTCGCATAGACCTCTGCAGACGTGGGAAGACTGACGTGTCATGTCAACGTGAACCCTCCCTCCTCGAACCGACGGCTGGACCCCTCTGGGGATCTTTTTGATCAGGCTCTCGCGGGAAATCCAGCCGTGAAGGCCAGAAGCCTCCTGCAGGCCCTGGAAGCCATGCAGAAAGGCCAGGGACCCTGACCCTGTATTTTTGATTCCCCTTCCCCCGCCGCCTTCGTCCCCACAAGAGCCTTCCCAACTCACCCACCCATCCACGCTCGAGTCTTTCCGCTCATCCAGCACACCTACCCTTAAGGCGGGCCTGTCCCTCTACCGGAGGAATCTTCAAAAATAGTCAAACAATACTCAGGGGACGTTTTTTTTTTTTTTTTTTTTAGTATTTGTTGATCGTTCTGGTGTATTCTTGGACTGCTTTTAAGTTTTCGTCCAAAATCCCCCTGTAAAAAGACAGGCCCGACTTGCACCTACCCGCAGATGCGCCCACCCCACGACACACGTCGGCCCGACGCCCTCCTGCGCCGAAGTGGCCGTCGCCCCCTGCCACTGGCTGCGCCTCCTCCCGCCCCTCCTCCGCCAGGGGCCCATGCATCCGACGGGCGCTTCGCCCAGGCGTGGAGCCCGGGTGTGCAGCTAGCTAGCAGGTCCTCCTGCCAGCAGCGAGCGCACGGCCTCCTCGTCGGCGACAGTCGCCGCCGCCTCCGTCCCCCCCCCCCCGGGCGAGGGAACGGCATACCTGAATTTTTTCGCACGCAACTTGAAGATGGCCGGCTTCCTCGTGGGAGGGCTCCTCGGAGAGGACCAGCAGCGATCAAGAGAGGGCAGGGTCGGAAGTGAGATGTCGGCGGAGGTCTAGCTGGAGGAGGAGGGAGTTGATGAAGAATTCGCGATGGGGAGAGGAGGAGGATGAGGAGGAGGAGGAAGAGCAGGAGGAGGAGGAGGAGGAGGAGGAGGAGGGAGGAACTGGAGGAGGAGCTGGAGAGAGGAACTGGAGGAGGAGCTGGAGGAGGAGGAGGGATGTACCGTCTTTCGTCGCTGCTTGGCCTTCTGGAGCGCCCCCCGCCTCAGCGGCTGGGTGCGCCTCGGCGTCCCGAACAGGCCGCGCTCTCCCGGGCTGGCCCGGACCCCTGAAGCTGGAGAGGCCGGCGGCCCCCCGACGGTGACCATTCTAGGTTGTGCCCAAAAGTATACACCACCACCACCACCTCCCTCACCCCTCCCTCTCCCAGGAAAGAGGAAAGCAAGAGGAGGGTAGAGGAGAAAGGAGGAACCGACGTGGTGGTGGTGGTGGTGGTGGTGGTGGTGGTGGTGGTGGTGGTGGTGGTGGTGGTGTGTATTATTTGGGTCCCCATTCTGGGTGGTGCGTCAGTGGGGACGCGGGGCCACCGCCCAGTTTTGGGACCTCGGGCCGTGCTCCGAGGACGCCTCGGGCGACGGGGGCCTCCGAGATCCCAGAGCCGTGCGGTGTCGGACCGCGCGGTGAGGTTCGCTCGTCACCACGAGGTTTGGCGTCCCCGAATGGAGGGGCTGGCAGCGCGCAGGGATGTTGTGTGCCAGCAGCAGCAGCAGCAGCAGCAGCAGCAGCAGCAGCAGCACGGAAGGTCAGCGTTCGGAGGTCTGCGCGGGCTTCCTCAGGTTGGCGCTGGAGCTCCGCGCGCTTCCACGGACGACATGTATGTGCCGCACCGTGTTGGCGCCTCCTGATGCGTCATCGATCTCCGGCTCAGGAACGGTACGTGCATTGCTTTCTGGCCCTCAGGGCCGGAAATGTTGGCGCCGTACCGCGCTGGAGTGAGGCCTGAAGGGGGTCCAAGCAAGGTACGGTGCGTGAGCGCCGTTCTCGTACCGTTGGCCCTTGTCACGCCCCTTCCCTGGCGCTTGGAGCGAGACGGCGTCAGGTGCCGGCCAGAGCCTCCGTCCCGGACGGTGGCTGGCAGGAAAGGCGCGCAGGGTGTGGTGTGCAAGCAGCAGCACGGGAGGTCAGCGTTCAGAGGTCTGCGCTGGCTTTCTCGAGTCGGCGCTGGAGCCCCTACCGCTGCCCTTGCCTCATTTCTGCCTTTGGGGGCCTGCTGGGAGGCCGTCGCCGACTCGGCTGGATTCGCCTCGAGATTCTGGTCAGACGGCACCCCAGGAGAGGCCCAGTGAGTAGTGGTATCGGCAGATTTGGTTTCCCCAGTCATGCGCGACGTCAGGGGGGGGTACACTCTGGGGGGGCGCATCGACCCCCAATCGCCCATCCATCGCTGACAGGGGCCTGAAAGCCCACACCCCGTTCAGGAACGCGCGGATTCGCTCTCGGGAGGCATATCGCCGATCCATCAGCGATGTATCGCCGATTCCAGCTCGAGGCATCCCCCCCTGGGCGGGTCTCTCCAGACATCCCGGGTGTTCTTGTTGAAGCCTTACGGCCAGTGCCGCCGACCCTGGAGGCCTCGGCCCTCGACGGAAATGGGAGGGAGAGGGCGGGCCATGGGCCCCAGGAGGTTGCATTCTGACCCAGGACCACCCACCGCCCCCGGGACCCCCCCCGGGACCCCCCTCCGGGATCCTTCCCCGGGACCCCCCCCGTCCGCGGGGAAGGGATCAAAGGGAAGGGTCTTCCCTTCGATTCAGTGACAACGTTGCTTAACTTCGCTGTGGATGGGCTGGTGTATTTCGCTTTGGCTGGCGTGCTTGAGGACGAAGGCCCAAGGAAGGGGGGGGAGCGGCGACGGACTCAGGGGAAGGAGGGGACGTGATAGCGGCGGCAACGCCACGGCGGCAGCGAAGGCGATGGCGACGGAACAGCCCTTGTCAGACACTTACAGGGTCGGCGGATTTATCGAGACACGGGCCCCCGACCTCTCGAAGACTTGACTGGGACAGGATTTTCACCCCGAGTCGTTTTTTGTTGACGGTCCCGGGGCAGGGGCCCAGAGAGGCCGCAAGCGGCGAAAAACCTCCGTCCTGGTCTTTTGTCCAATGCGCTGGGTCTCTGGGAATTAGGACGAGGCGATGGGGGGGAGAAGGAACATTGGCACGCCAGCAAGCTTGCCAGAATCTGGATGAGACAGGTTAGGCGATCGCAAACATGGATCAAGGGGGCGTGGATTAGCGACGGGTCCCGTTTCCATTGGAAATCGCTGATTTTCCGCCGCCGAATAAGGCGGCACCGGCCGCATTTTGGGGAGGGCACCTCCCCCGATCCATGGATTTGGCGACCGCGCGCCCGATCCATGGATCGCCAATCCATGTTTGCGCGCCCCCGAAAGGGCCCCATGGATCGTCCAGGCCCTCGCCGTGCTTCCAGCCCCCGCCCGCCACAGCGCGCGCCGTGCTCCCCAGGCGTTCGACGGTGTTTTCTTTTCGACTCGCCAGATGTCTGACTTGTTCCCCCTTACCTTGGGCGTCGCGTCATAGCCACTCCCACTGGTTTCCCGACCTTGGTTTCCTTATCGAAGGTTTCCTTATCCGATGCCATCACCGTGTGTCCTTCCGCGCATCATGTGCACGTGCGCGCCAGAGCGCACACATCGAGCTGGCCCCGGTGAACGGCCTGCACGCGCGCGGCGCGGCGCCGAAGACGCGCCCGCCCGCCCTCTCTGGGGGCAATTCGTGGGGGGGGCATCGAGGGTTGCAGAAAAGAGGCCCCAAAGGGCCCTTTAGGACCCGAAGTGTACCTGTCTCCCGCCTCCCCCCATACACACAATTCACACACAATTCACATACAATTCACACACACAATTCACACACAGTACACACACACACGCACACGCACGCACGCACGCACACACACACACACACACACACACACACACACACACACACACACACACACACACACACACACACACACACACACACACACACACACACACACACACACACACACACACACACACACACACACACACACACACACACACACACACACACACACACACACACACACACACACACACACACACACACACACACACACACACACACACACACACACACACACACACACACACACACACACACACACACACACACACACACACACACACACACACACACACACACACACACACACACACACACACACACACACACACACACACACACACACACACACACACACACACACACACACACACACACACACACACACACACACACACACACACACACACACACACACACACACACACACACACACACACACGCACACACACACACACACACACTTATTGCCCTCCCATCAAGCGACGCCCGACTCACCTTTGGCCCCTTGCCACGCGTCTTGCCTGGCGCGCGCATTGAGCTGGGGCCAGGCGCGAGAGCCTCCATCCCCGACGGAGGCGGGTCCCAGGAAGGGCGGGCATGAGCTGGCTTCGTGGGCGCTGGTTTCACGGGCGCTGGTTTCGCCCGCGCTGGTTTCGCCCGCGCTGGTTTCGCTCGCGCTGGTTTCGCCTGCGCTGGTTTCGCCCGCGCTGGTGTCGCCAGCGCTGGTTTCGCCCCGCTCGTTTCGCTGGCCTTGATTTCGCGGGCGCTGGTTTCGCCGGCGTCGGGTTTCGCCAGCGCTGATTTCGCCGGCGCTGGTTTCGCCCCGCTTGTTTTGCCCCACTGTTTTCGCCGGCGGCTGGTTTCGCCCCACTGCTTTCGCCCCGCTGGTTTCGCCCGCCTGGTTTCGCTGGCGGCTGGTTTCGGCGGCTGGTTTCGCTGGCAGCTGGTTTCGCCCAGCTGGTTTCGCCGGCGGCTTGCTTCGCCGGCGGCTGGTTTCGCCGGCGGCTGGTTTTGCGGGCGGCTGGTTTCGCCGGCGGCTGCTTTCGCGGGCGCTGGTTTTGCCGATCGCCGCCGTCGCCGCGGGCCTGCGGACCCTTGCGGGCGGGTCGGGTCGGGTCGGGCGGGCGGGCCCTGACGGGCGGGACGTGTCGGGCGGGCGGGACATGGGCGCGCTCGACCGAGCACGCGCGAACCCGAACGGGAGCGGGACGGGTCGGGCGGGCGGACCCCAGAGGGCGGGTCGGGTCGGGTCGGGAAGGCGGGACACGAAAATGCGGGGCACGCTCGACGGAGCACGCGCGAACCGTAACGGGCAGGTCGGGTCGGGCGGGCGGACCCTAGCGGGCGGGTCGGGTCGGGTCGGGCGGGCGGACCCTGACGGGCGGGTCGGGACGGGCCAGCCAGCGGGACATTAAAGTGCGGGGCGCGCTCGACCGAGCACGCGAGGAATCTAACGGGCGGGTCGGGTCGGGCGGGCAGACGGTAGCGGGCGGGTCAGGCCGGGTCGAGCGGGCGGACCCTGACAGGCGGGTCGGGTCGGGCTGGCGGGACATGAAAGTGTGGGGCACGCCCGACCGAGCGCGGGCGAACCTTACCGGGCGGGTCGGGTCGGGCGGGCCGACCCTAGCGGGCGGGTCGGGTCGCGGCGGGCGGGCGGACCCTAACGGGCGGGTCGGATCGGGTCGGGTCGCGCGGACCCTAGCGGGCGGATCGGGTCTGGGCGGGCGGGCGAGCCTCAACGAGTGGGTCGGATCGGGCGGGCGGACCCCAGCGGGCGGGTCGGGTCGGATCGGGCGGGAGGACCCTGACGGGCGGGTCGTGTCGGGCGGGCGGGACATGAAAGTGTGATGCACGCTCGACCGAGCACGCGCGAACCGTAACGGGCGGGTCGGGTCGGGCGGGCGGACCTTAGCGGGCGGGTCGGTTCGGGCAGTTTCGCCGGCGGCAGCTGGTTTCGCCGACGGCAGCTGATTTCGCCAACGGAGCTGGTTTCGCCGACGGAGCTGGTTTCGCCGACGGAGCTGGTTTCGCCGGGCGGCGAAACCAGCCGTCGGCGAAACCAGCGGTCGCCGCAGGGCGTCCCGCTCGGCTTTGCCGTGCTGGTCTCTGACGGTGCCAGGGGTCCGGCGTCTCGAAAAAGTCGAGGCGGATGTTTTTCATGGTTTTCTGTCTCTCGGTGTCCTTGCCAGGCCTCGGGGAGGTCAATGAACAACAGGGATTGATAATCTGGTCCTGGGGAAGTGGTCGAGAACAGATGTCTGGGGTGTCCCTGGCCCAAGGTGCGCCCAGGACATCCAGGGCTGAGCCTTCACGGCCTTCGGAGTGACTCCCGCGCTGCCCAGGGGGACCCAGCCTCCAAAACGGCAAAGCTGGGGACGCGTTGTGGCATTGAGTACCTGTAGGTCAGCCCTTGACGATTTGCTCAGGAGAGTGGGGAAGCTGTGCGTGGAGAGGGGTGGTTCTGAGTTCTTGTTATGGCCGCTCCCAAAGCGCGTTCTGCCCAAACCTCCGAGGCGAGTCCAACCGTGGCGGCGAGGATCTCCCAGAAGTCGCACGCGCCTATGTTTTTGTTTCGCTCCGACCCGACCCGACCCCGAGCCCCCGGTGTTTTTTTCTGATAAGGGGCCCCTGCCGATTAGAAGGCCGCCCCACCGTAACTCGACGCTCCCCACATGAGGAAGAGGGGGATGAGGAGAATGATGGGAGGAGGAGATGGAAAGAGGGGAAGGTGGTGGAGGAGGAGGAGGAGGACGAGCAGGCGGAGGAGGAGAAGGAGGAGGAGGAGGAAGATGAGGGGCCCTGTCGTGCTCGCCGCCAAGAGGACGACCACACGGAGGCGGCCTCGCCGACCAGGGCGTGCGTGCAGACCGTCGAGGTCTGAGCTGATGGCTTGCAGGCGGTGCTTGTCCGCGGCAAGCTGCATGTCTACGCCCCAGACATTTGGCGCCTTTTTTTTGTTTCGGTGGCGCGCCGAGTGCTAGCGAGCATTGCCCCTCCAGACTTATAGACCTGCCAGGGCTGCTCAAAGCCTCGACTGGAGTTTACATTCCACAGTCGTGGTGCTGTTTTTTCAGCCCTCCTGGAAGGTTTGGGATGCAGGGAGGTCCTGGAGTTGGTTTTGTTGTTTTCTCGGGGGCTTCAGGATCCAGGGCCTTCCCTGGGACACCCGGACGATTTGATTGTTCTGGGGAAAAGGCCAGAGACACTGTCGTTTCGAGCGGGTTCTAGTGGAGGTGAGAATGGACCACCGATTTGGATGTTTCCGTGTTCAGATTGCCGACTTGGGCGTTTTTCACGGCCGTGCTCTCAATTCTGTCTTGTATAGCCGAACCCCTACTTGTCGAACCGCCTTCTGACCTCTGCTACCATTTGGGTGCTTCGCTGGGGCTCTTTTGGCGCATGGCGCTTTCGCGTCGGGATCTTGGGTCCTCGCAGATCGACCTGGCTCGAGAGCAATGCCGCCAGAACCATGAGTGTCTCTGGCCTGGAAGCCGCTTCCACCAGGACCCGATCTGCTTCACGCCAGAGGGCGGGGTGGGGCGAGAGGGTGGCCTCTGGAGGCCTCCCCCCTCCCCTGCACCTGCGAGAAGCAAGGAGGACGCGGCCCCGCTGCCGTCTTACAGGCCCCACTCCCGCACTTTCCCCCACCTCCTCGATGCGCCTCCAGCGTCTGGACCGAGCCGCCTTGCGCGGCCTCGGTGCCCAGGGAGGGGCTTCTAGGGTGCCGGGGCCGTCCTTGAAGCAACCTGGCCAAGCGAAATGTTGGTCCCATCGGTCGTTTCGTGACGGTGAAGGCGATCAACTTTGGAGGATCGAGGGCTGCAGGCGAGGCACCCTTGAGCCCAGACCCCCTCGCAGCCGGGAAAAAATCACGACGGGGGGTGTTCCGCAATTTTTTGTCCTCTGGAGGCCCTTTCCGGGCCTCGGGGCGGTGACAAAACGCCTCAGGATGAAACGCCGGTCTTGGGGGAAGGGTCGAGACCTGTGGCGGTCGACGTCATGGCAACATCATGGCCTCGGGCGTCTGGGAAGGGAGCCTGAAAGGGCCTCCTGCGGCCCCCGAGGGTGCACGAAAGGAACACCTTCCCCCCCCCCTTGTTGTTGCCCCCCCCCCCATCATGGCGCAACGCCCACTCCCAGAGACGGGCTCGAGGGCTCCGGGCGCCATGTGTTGAGAGGAGCGGCGCCCCCAGACCCCCGAGGTCATGATCCTCTCATGACATCGGCCCCCAGAGGGTCGACCCATTCCCTGGGACTGGTCTTCATCCCGAGTCGTTTTTTCACGGCTCCGAGGCCCGGCGAGGGCCTCCTCAGGGTCGTGTTTTTTCATGTTCAATTGGTTCTGGGTCGAGGAGGACTGGGGTCTGGGCTCTCTTAGGAGACGAATCCAGTGCTAGCCGGCGTGCTGCGGCTTGCGCGCGCGACCGCCGGTCCTTTTTGATCGCTTGGTCGTACTTGATCGAGCTAATTACCTTTTTGAGCCGCGCGCCACGCTTGCGTTGTGCGCGCTGGAAAACGCTTCACGGAAATGGAGCATGCCCAACTGTGCTTCTGCTCCCTTGCTTGGCTTGTGGCGCTGCCTCCGCCTATAGTTAAGGCTTCCTCTGGGTCGTTATGTCATCGGTCAAGTGTCGCGTAGCATGTGTTTGCGTTTGCAAGCAGCATGACAGCATTATCCTTCATCTTATACCCCTCTTTCATTGTCTGCTGCGCACCTCATCATGTGACACCCTTGGCGCGGGCCCCCAGGCGGAAATGGCATGTCGGGCACAGGCCCTGCAACCGAGCGTACCAGCGCCTCATACACCACCCAGGCACGGCCCCGAAGGCTGGACAACGGTTCGCCCCGCCCACCCACAACCGTTTGTCGTCACACAAGTGCGCACACATGTCTTCGTGTCTTGCATACCATACGTACATTTGTAAAGGTGCACAGGGAAGAGGTAACACATCGATGAAGCAACGAGTCGGGCTATGAGACTTTGACCACCCGTGATAGTCTTCGCCCCGCCCTCCCACCCGCGCCTCCGCGAAGCCTCGGCGACCCGCTCGCCCTGGTCGCACATCACCGACCCATCGCGCGACCAGCGCAGGAATGCCTTTATGCCGTGGAATGGGAGTGCGGGTGTTTTCCGCAACAAAAATCACAAAGCGAGCAGCGGGAGCGGGTGCGGAGGGGAGGCAGGAAATTGATTGGCATGAGAAGGGGGAGAGAGTTTGGGACTGGGGATTGGCATGGGAGGGGGGGATACGGATTGGGATTGGAACGGGAGACGAGAGATTGGATGGGGATTTGGCTTGGGAGGGGAGGCAAGAGTCAAACAATGAAAACCTGCATAAACATAGTTTCTCTGAGGTCCCGCGGATTTCCTGGATCGGCGCTGGAGCCCCCCTGGCGGCACCTCTGGCGCCGACACAAGAAGTCCCAGCGCACCTTCGAGACATTATGTTTATGAAGCGGACTGGGATGGGAGGGGGGGACGGATGGCAGCAGAGGTGATTGGAGGGGAGGGTGTATCAGTGGGAAGCGGGGAGGGGGAGTGGGACATATTGACCTTCTCGTTGTCGTCGACACCGTCGTCGTCGTTGTCGGTTATCGTGGAGGAGGAGGGGGGGAGGGGGGAAAGCAAAGAGGAGGAGGATGAGGAGGAGGAGGAGGAGGAGGAGGAGGAGGAGGAGAGGAGGAGGAAGGAGAGAGGAGGAAGGAGGATATGGGGATAGATGAGGAATGGGAGGGGGTGGCTTGTCCATGGAGGGGGAGATGTGGGAGGCAAAAGGTACGGGAGGGGAGGAGGCGCACGTTGGGGAAGGGCGGAGGTCGGGAGGGGAGGGTCGCGCGAGGAGAAGGGTTGTGTGCCGAGTGGGGTGCGGGAGGCGGGTGGGTGATGAGGACGACGCAGACGATGAGGAGGAAAGACTGGCTCCTCTTCCTCTCGGCCCGAGGTGAGCCACAAGGAAATTCTTTACGCTTCGCGTATCCCCACCAGCCCATCTCACAACAGCAACTCTTGCGAAGCATGCCGAAAGTCGTGTTTTTCAGGCGTGTGTCCCCTTGGCCCCGCATATCTCCCCTGTTCCTCCTTCCTCCCGCCTCCTTGTACATCCTCCTTGTGGGGGGAGCGGGGGAAGGACGAGGCGGAGGAGGAGGGAGAGAAAGCGCTCCTCGTGGTTTGAGTCGTTTGGGGTTTCTCGTCCTGGTGTGAGTCGTTCGGGCCCTTCTTCCTGGTGTGAGTCGTTCGGGCTCTTCGTGGTGTGAGTCGTTCGGGCTCTTCGTCCTGGTGTGAGTCGTTCGGGCTTCTCGTGGTGTGAGTTGTTCGGGCCCCTCGTCCTGGTGTGAGTCGTTCGGGCCCCTCCTCCTGGTGTGACTCGTTCGGGCTCCTCGTGGTGTGAGTCGTTCGGGGCCCTCGTCGTGGTGTGAGTCGTTCGGGCTCCTCGTGGTGTGAGTCGTTCGGGCGCCTCGTCCTGGTGTGAGTCGTTCGGGCCCCTCCTTCTGGTGTGAGTCGTTCGGGCTCTTCGTGGTGTGAGTCGTTCGGGCCCCTCGTCCTGGTGTGAGTCGTTCGGGCTCCTCGTGGCGTGAGGCGTTCGGGCACCTCGTCCCCTTTTGGGGCGTCTTGGGGGCCTCTTGGCGGCCCCAGGGGCTTCTAGGAGCGTCTTGGGTGCCTTGGGGGAGCCTCTTCGGGCCTCTTGGGAGCCTCTTGGAGGCCGTTTGGGGCGTCTTGGGGGCCTCTTGGCGGCCCCAGGGGCTTCCAGGAGCGTCTTGGGTGCCTCGGGGGAGCCTCTTGGGGCCTCTTGGGGACCTCTTGGGGGCATCTTGGGGGCCTCTTGGAGGCCTCTTGGGGGCCTCCTGGGGGCCTCTTGGGCCATCTTGGGGCCTCTTGGTGCCTCCTGGGCGCTTCTTGGGGCCATCGTGGAGGAGATCGATCAAAGAAGAGGGAAGCTTCAATTAGCACTGCCCCCTCAGAAGGCGCAAATGGGACCAAAACCTTCTGTAAAATCAATGATTTTGGCTTCGAGGAAGAGGGGAGCTTTAAGGAGCGCTGCCCCCTCAGAAGGCCAACATGGTGCCAAAACCGTAGTAAAATCAATGATTCTGGCTTCAAAGAAGAGGAGAGCAGTTTTTCTGCTCCCCCCCGTCGGGGCCAGAATTCTCGTGAGGGGTGTCGTTTTTTAGCCCTCCCAGGAGTCGAAACTGACCCCCCTGACGACCCGCGAAACCCCCTCTCCAGGTCCAGGGGGAGGGGGTAGGGGGAGGGGTAAACCCTTCCCCGAAGGGGAAGAAGGGGGGTTGAGAACAGAGAGAGCTCCCTAAACCACTCACGCCCAAAGGGCTGGTGGGATTCGGGAGGCGGGTGGGTGATGAGGACGACGCAGACGATGAGGAGGAAAGACTGGCTCCTCTTCCTCTCGGCCCGAGGTGAGCCACAAGGAAATTCGATGACCCCGTCGTGAGCGCTTCTGTTCAGGGGGGGAGGGGGGAGCACGCCGTCGGGCGACGTCGCAGGCCCGCCGCGGCGGCGCCAGGGCCGCGAGACGGCACCGCCCCGCCCCCCCCCCACCACCTGTGCGCAGCCATTTTGGCTCGAGCGGCGGGGGCCGCGCTGGCCGGGCGACCCCCGCCGAGGCCCCCGAGGGGGTCGCCTCCCCAGATGTCCGGTGCCTCGAGTGCCTCGATGCTGTCGAAGCCGGTGGTGATGATGGGTACCCTTTCCCGGGGCACCCTTGCATCCTTTCCTCTGCGGTCCAGCCTTGGCCGCTCTCGATGGTCCGACCCCGCTCGAGGAGCCTCGACATGGGCGTCCAAGGGGCTTGCGCCCCTATCGCGCATCCTCACTGCCTACTCTCAGTTCTGTGACTGTGCGGGGTCCCCCGAGGCCTGGGCCTCTTCCCCAGCGTGGGTCGTCTCGGTGACAGCGACGGGGCCCGGCGAAGGCCCCCAGAGAGCGAAAGCGGTCAAAGACCTTCCGCCTTGAGCTTCTCGAAGCGTTGGGGATCTGGGTCGGGCCGAGGGTGCCGCCGCCGAGGCGCCCTGGCCGGCCGGTCGGCGCTGTGGCGGCGCGAGCCGGCCTCTGGCGGCCGGGGCGGCCGCCTCGGCGGCGGCCGTCGCGGTTGCCAGGGCTCCTCGGGGCGATGGTGGGCGGCGGGCCGCCCCGCGGGGGCGGGCGGCGCGGCCTCGGCGGACCGGGCGCGGCAGGGGCGGAGCTGCGGGACGAGGGCATGGAGGACCCCAGCGGCCGTGGTCGGCAGGGGCCCGCCTGGCAGACCGCTCGAGCCATGAGCCGGGCACGACGGACGGTGTTTCGATGTTCGGCCTCCAGTGGCCCACACCGGGCCTCGGGACCGTGAACACACGAGCAGGAGGAACACCGGCCCCGGGGAAGGGGTCGAGACCCGTGGGGGTCGGCGGTGCGACAAAGTCATGAAGTCGGATGTCTGGGCCAGCAGGGTCGTCGAGTCACTCAGACCCACCAGCCCACCCCTTCAAGGTGAGGATAGACTTAAGTCGGGCCTGTCCCTCTACAGGAGGAATATTCAAAAATAGTAAAAACAATCGTACGGGGACGAGTTCTTGCATTTTTTTTTTTTTTTATTATTTTTGAATACTTGTTTTACTACTTTAGATCTTTCCTCGACAATCCGCCTGTAGGGGGTCCGGCCCGACTTAAGGATAGACCCCAAGTCGGCCGGTGGGGCGAAGGCCACGCCAGTTCGGTTCACAGGTGCTCGGCCTCTGCTATGCCCCTAGCCTTCCAGGGGGGGGATCTGCAGGAGCAGCGCCGGGTTCTCTGAGCTCGGGCCCTGTCCAGGGTTTTACAAAAAGCGGTCCTGGTGGATCTACGTGGCACACGTTGTTCATTTTTAATTATTATGAAATTCTTTGATTTTTTTTGGGGGGGGCACGATCCTTTCACTTCTAATTGTTCTATCCTGGGCCTCTTCCTGGCTAGGGGGCCAGGATCAATCAAAAACAAGCGCAATTAGGAATGAACACGATTAGAAATGAACGACGTGTAGGTCTGGAGGGCTGCCTTCTGGCGCTCTGAGAGGTCAGGGCTGCCACTGGGGCGGCGAGTTTGGCGCTCTTGTTGGCCCGACCCTGGAGGCCTCCCAGAATCGCCTGGAGGCTTCCTGCAGGGGACACGGAAGGCAAGCGCGGCGGACCTCCGGAGAGACTCGGTCGTGGTCGCGATGTTTTGGCCTGCTTTTGTCCAGGCCGCCCAGGTGGGGTCCGACCATGCAGGGGTTCGGAGGATTGCGCCGCAACGCCAGTGCGTCGGCGATGCGGCTTGACTCGGAGCCCGATTTTCTCCATGTCGACGTGGCCGATGCACTGCCGACGCCTCGGTGATGCGGCGCCATCCTCCGCCCCCGTCTACTCCGGCCCCGTTTGGGCAGCCTCGATTTAGCAGGGGAGGCCAATCGTAACCCACAGCAGACGGGAGGGACCGCAGGGCCCACTGCAGTACGCGCAGGGGCCAGATCTTGGCGCACGCTGGCTAAGAACCGCGGCCCCTGCGCCTCTGTGGGGGGTACACGTCGCCCTGGGACTGCGGTTTGGGTCCTCCCAGTTTTGGGCCGCGGACTGCGGCCAAGGCCGCGCAGTCAGAGTGGAGGCTTTTGGGCGCTTCGGGATGTGTTGTTGGTCGTCGGAGGCCTCCAGAGGCCTCCCGGAGACCCCTGGGGGACCAGCGTCGGCGCCACCCAAGCATATCAATACTGTGTGTGCGTCGCCCGCGCAAGGGCGACGCGCGCGCCAAGCGCTCTGCCAGAATTCGCTCGGCGGCGGCCTCTGTCTGGCCATGCCGCTCGGGAGACGATCCATGACAGACTGCAGGATGTCGGGTCGGACCTGCGCCCCCAGCGGAAGCACCTCGTGCTCGGGTCGAACGTGCGTCCCCAACGGAAGCACCTCCTGCTGGCATGCCCTTTCTGCGCTCCGGAGCGGCGGGCCTGCGGAGCCCTTGGGCGTCCGAGGCCCTCCGCCCCCACGGACGGATCGCGGCGCCGGGTGTCTCGCCTCGGCCTGCGCCGCCCCTCGCGGTGCGGGGGGGGGGCGGGGCCCGAGTCACGGAGGGGGCCCCAGAGGGCTCTGGGGGCGGCCAAGAGGGGGGCGATGACGGGGGGGGGCATCGAGGCATTCGCCGTTTTGAGGCGTCGATTCAGGCATTGGCCGTTTTCGGTTCGGCAGAGGGCCAGGTCCGTCGCTTTCGGTCCCAGGCCGTTTTCACTGAGGGGGGTTGCCCAGCGCCGCGGGGCGTGGATCGACTGGCGGGGGCCATGACATCTCCCAAATCTCGTGGCCCCCTCCCCTTCCTCCACTGCGCCCTTGCCCCCCCCCCCCAGGGGCCCCACGCGTGCCTCGGGCCACGATGTGCGACCGCCCCCCTCTTGGACGCCCGCCTCCTGGACGCCCCCGCGGAAGAGGGTGCCCGATCCCTCGGCATCCTCCGGTGGCGATCTCCCGCGTCCGCGGCCCCAGAGCTCCCGACCCGCTCGTCGGGGCCGGGCCCCTGCCTGACGGTCCTGGGGGGGGGGGCCGAACGGAGGGCCCAGGAGACAGACGTCGAGGAGACAGGGCCTGGGGGGGCCGAATGGAGGGCCCGGGTTGGAGACATCCTGCCTGGATTGGGCGCCTTGTAGTGGGCAGGCGATGACTGGGGGGGGGGCAGCGAGGGCTGCAGAAAAGGAGCCCTTTCGGGCCCAAAAGGGGCACTTGAGGGCCCGAGGGAAGTGCACCTTTTCTCCCCCCTCCCCCTCCCTTGATCGCCCCCCCTTTCAGCGACGCCCAGGCGCAACCCGAACCCTCACCATCGAGGGCAGTCCAGAAAGATGCGGTCGACAGCTCCAGGGGACGGGAAGCCGTTCCAGGACGACTTCTGGTTGGGGGGTGGGGGCCCATCAAGAATCGTCCTGTAGCTCGACGAGGGCTTCAGAACGACGGTGCCAACGCCCCGATTGGTTGTCTGTGGGCCTTTCCCCGTGGTCTGGGAGCCCAGACACCTCGTTGGCGTCTCTGGCATCGCTCGGACGTGTGCATTTTCTTCTCGGCGAGAACCATCGAGGACCATCCTGGACCATCGAGCAAAAACAAACACAAACACGCACGGAACCGAACAATGCCCGGGAAATGGACGTCCGAGCGATGGCGAGGCCCTCTGATGTGTCTTCGGACGTTGTCGATTTGTGGGCTCCTGGAGGCTCCCAGGCCACGGGGTGCTTTCTCCAGCAGGCCGCGCCCGTCGAGCTTACCGAGGGCACTATTGTTGTTCAAATGGCCTCCTGACCTAGCTTGCACCTGGCAAGGCGGACCGCTGGCGTCTTAAAAAAGTCAAGACGTCCGCTTCTTCTCAGCTTGGACTCCTGAAAGGGACTGCTGCGGGCACCATGATCTAGTGGCCTTTTGGGCAGCCTGGGCGTCAACACCACGCCCCCGCGCGGTAGCCTGGCTGGTTTCAGCAGGCTCTTGTGTAGCTTGGGACGGTCTCAGCACCCAGCGGCGCCTCCCACGGTGACCTCTGGGTCGTTCCGCGCGCTGGAGCGGGGCCGCTCAGACCACCCAGGACTACCTCAGGGGCGTGTTGAGGCCAGCCCTCATAAAATATTTCGGGGTGCTGTTTCCTGGCCAAGGGGAGGAACCCTGGAACAACGAAACAGGCGCACCACCAGGGCAAACAAAAAGGCAGGGCCGTCAGGTCCTTGGCGGTTTTGCTGTCTTTGGGCATCCGAAGGGGTCTCTTTGGCTTAGGCTGGGCCCCGACCGACCACAGTCCCAGCGTGCCGCCGTGGGTGCTGGCCGAGTGGGTCCTCAAGACGCCTCTGAAAGGCCCCATCGGCAGCGAGCCCCTCCTCCTGAACCCAGGCCTGCTCGTCAGCGACTCCCTGGCGGCACGCATCGCCGCGGCCAGGAGCCGCGCGCCCCAGACGGCACCCCCCTCGATCCTCCGGAGGGACGGGGAGACCGCCGGCACCCGGGAGCGCCCGCGCAAGACGGTGCGCTGGTGCGAGCACGCCCTAGGCGAAGCCCAGAGCCCCTGCGGCGAGGTGTCCGTGGAGTGGCCCAGGGGTGCACGCGGCGGTGCCGAGCGGTGGCGGAGCGCCGGCCACCGCGGCGGCGCGGCCCTCTGGTGGGACGGCTCGGGGGACGCCTGGTCCGAGGCCTCCCGGGGAGCCTGGGGCGGCCGCGCGGGCTCGTGGAGCTGGGGCGCGGCGTGGAGCGAGCCCGCCGAGGCCGCGGCGGAGGCCCCCCGGAGCGACGGCTGGTGGAGCTCCTCCAGCTGGTGGGAGGCGACCGCCGGCCGCGCCGAGCCCGCCCCCAGGCGCTCGGAGGAGTGGCGGCGGGCGCCGGCTGCGTCGCCCAGGGAGCCGTGGGCGGGTCCGCCCGCACACCGCGGCGCGCCCAAGGGCGGGGAGGGCCCCAGGGGCCGCTGCGGCGACGTCGCCGCTCGGGGCGGCGGCCGGGGCTGCGGGGAGGAGGCGGCCGGAGACGCAGGCGCCAGGAACCAGGTCGGGGATCTCCTGACCCGGGCCAGTGCATAGCCAGGTCAGTCAGGCTTTGCAGGAGCTTGCAAGGTCCTGCACGCAGGCCGGGGCCAACGCACCCCTGCCTCTTGCAGGATCTTGCAGGATCTGGCGCTCTGGCTGACCCCCGTTTGCAGGGGCCCCCGTCTCAAGGCCCCCGATCAGGCTGCGGGCTGGCGGAGCCACGGGAGCGGCGCCTTGCCTGACGACACCGGCGACCGCAGCAGCGGCAGAGGCAGTGGCGGTTGTGCCCACGGGGCCTGCAGGGACAAATCGCTGCTGTCGATCACCCGCGTGAGGCCGACGCTCGAGCCGACGACGAAGTGGCCTTTGCGCGGGTGGGCGGATGAGGGGAGCAAGCCAGCCGGCGGGCTGCAGTGTGGAGACCCGGCAGAGGGCGCCCTCGCTGACGTCGTCTACGTGGATTTCGGCGGCCAGAGGGACGCGCTCGTGCCTGCCAGGAGGGCAGACCGGCTGGGAATCGACTTCCATGTCGAGATTTGTACCATCGACACCGGCAGGAGCCTCGTGACCCTGAAGCAGGCGGCGGGCAGCCGAGGCGGCGGCGCCCTGGCGCCGCAGGAGCAGGAGGGCGGGCGCGACGGCCCGGAGCGCCGAAGCCGCGGCGACCTGCCGCGGTCGCCCAGGCCGTGGCAGGGCCCACCGCCGCCCGCCGCGGCCCGCCGGGCAGGCGAGGCGCTCGAGGGCACGGCCCAGGGACGGCTGAGGCCACGGGCCGGGCTGTGGAGCGGCCCCGGTGGGGAGGGCGAGGCGCGGGGCGGTCGGCTCTGGAGCAGTGCCGGCGGCGCCCGGAAGTCGCCCTAGTCCCTCTGGCGTAAGTTTTTGTGCGGACTGCAGCTTCTTGCAGGTATAGATCGACGAACTGTGGTGCCTCTCGAACTTGTCAGCATCCTCTTTGTCGGTGAATTTTCAATCCGCGTCTTCTTGATGCATTGCTTGAGTGAGTGAGTGAGTGAGCGAGCGAGCAAGCGAGCGAGCGAGCCAGTGTGGTGGAGCCTCCGAGGCACAGTCCTTCAGAGAGCTGCGGCTGCTGCAATTTTGCGGCGAGTTGCTGCCTACGCGTCTTCTTGATACACCGCTCGATTGAGTGGGTTTCGCCGTTGGAAGAAACGTCGAGTCTTGATCACGATGGCTGAATGGGGGGCGTCGGTAGAGCAGGATGGGCTGGTGAAGGCGGAACAGTCTCTGTGAGCATGTGGCTTTCCGAGCTCACGAGTTCACGGATTACGCACTGGTGTGTTATGGGTTATGAGGGTAGTTGATCTAGTGTGCAACGCGACCCAGTGAGCACATAGCCGAGAGGAGGAGGCGATGTCAGTGATTGCAAGGAGGAGAATGAGGAGCACACACGACGCCGGTGAGGTGGTCACCCTTGGGGTCTCGAGGTGTAGCCTGCTGTCGTGCCCTCGGCCCCCAGAGTGCTGCGCCCCTGCGGCATCAGGCCAAGGCGCAAAGGAGGTCGGATGGAGCTTCTTGCCTACCTAATTAAGGCGCTCCGCCAAGCGCCTCGAGGGATCAACAAGCTGCACTCTTGCAACTCCTCCTCCTCCTCCCCCTCCTCCTCCTTCTCCTCCATCTCCTCCTTCTCCTCCTCCGTAGCCATTTTGGCTCAAGTCCGTAGCCATTTTGGCTCAAGTTTTGGTTTCCCCTGGGAACAAAGTGGATACCGCTAGTCCGCGGCCAGCTTTCGTCTTTCGCCTGGTTCGCCCCAGGCAGAGCGCCGTGCGGTCCGCCCCGCACGGCCCAGCCCCACTGTGATCACCATTACGACCGGCCCATGGCACCGCCTGCCAGGCAGGAAGCGGTTCTCCTGGGACCGAAGTACCCCGTCTGGGGGTGCGGCCGTTGCGGAGCGGCCCAGAATTGGGCGTGTCGAGTGGTGTGCCAGTGCGGCAATCCAGCCCCGTCCAGGATCGTTCAACGAGCAAAAGAGAATGCAGCAGCTTGGGCGCAGAATGGACCCTCGCTTGCAAAGTCAAAAGGCAAAGGTGGTAACGGATCGAAGGGCAAAGGCAGCGACGGCGGCGTTGACAACGGAAAGCTCCAGCGGCTCGAGAATCAGCTGGCGCAGGTGCTCAAAGCTGTGCAGTCAGGTACCACGACAGCGGCACCTGGTGCAGCAGCCAGGTCTTCTGGCACGGGGGGCAAGCCGCCATGGCATACCTCGGAGCCCACAGCTGGAGGCGCAGATGCACAGTCTGAGGAGAAGGCTGACAACGGTGCCAAGCGAGATGCCATCATGCAAGAGATCTATGAGTTGGAAGATGTGCTCAAGCGACTCCGATGCAACAACGGTAATGAAAGCATCAAGTCCCCGATTGAGGAGCGGCTCAAGGATCTTCGCAGCCAGCACAAGCAGCTGCGATCCCCTACGACTGCACACAGACGGGCAGCGCAGGACCTCAGTCGGGCACGCACCTCGTTGCAGAAGATGCAAGATGAGCTCAGTGAAAAGCAGAAGCAGTTTGAAGGACTTCGTGAGTCGATCGCGAAAAGACAGGATGAGATTGTGGCAAAGCAAAGGGAAGTGGAGGCGCTGGAGGTCGAATTTGCTGAAACGGCTAAGCATGTCACGACCTCGACCGAGGATGCGAAGCAGGCGCCCGATCTATCACAGCTCTTTGATTTTGGGTCCGAGCCAGACGAGGTTCCCAAAGAGCTCATCCCTTTCCTCGAGAGCCCTGAGTGGAAGATGCTCCAGTCTTTACTCACGCAGAGGGCTTCTAAGTTGCCAACTAAGATGGATATTGATGGTGATGGTGATGGTAAGCCTACTGAGAATGCCGCTGCAGCCGAGCCAGGCGATGATGGGCAAGCTGCAGGGGAGAAGCGCATGTATGAGGACCTCACCGAACCCGAACACGAGATTTTGTTCTCACTGGCAGGAGATAAAGAGCAGTTTCGACAAAAGCTTGCCGAGTTCTCCGTCAAGCGTGCAAAAGTCAGTTCCAGTTCCTAACGCTTTCTGTTTGCGGCGATGGCTGTGGGGGCTGTCGGGCAGGAGTTCGCCTTCGGCGTCCTGCAGTGCTACGGCATCCCCGTCGTCCACGTTGCGGCCTGACCCTGAGAAGGCTGAGACCCTTGGCTGGACGGCACCCCCAACGCAGCTGCAGGTCCAGGCTTGCAGTGGGCGAGGAGAGGGAACCCAGCCTAGGGAATCGCTGGAGGGAAGGCCCACCTGTTCGTCTACTGCTACGAGGGCAACAAGTTCTACGGTATTAACTTCTTCGTGTACGCTGGCATCTGAGTGCGGCGTCGACAGTGCTGCGGATCCGACAGTGCGCGATCCTAAGTTCGATTTTCCCCGAGTGAGTGGTTTCAAGTTGTCTCATCATGGAACGGTTCCTGCAGCAGACGCTGAACACGATGATACGTTCCATGAGTTCGAATCGTTCAACGCTAACGGTGGGAAACGCACAGTGAAGAAGAGGCTCGAGAAGAGTTCGGCGAAAGTGATTTTGATGCAAGAGATCGGACATCTTGAAGCGGATCTTGAAGCTCTTGACTCCTGGTGCGCTGCGCGAGGTTGGTCAATGCGAGCTCTTTCGTCGAAAACAACGGCTGGTCACAACACTGGAGCTGGTGTCGCTGTGTTTGTACGGACTGGAGTCGGACTTCGACCACCTGCAGCTGGAGCTGAGTGTCTTTTTCCAGCACGACTACAACGAGTCGAGGTCGACCTACCAGGCTGGCCCGCCATCACGGCGTTCAACCTCTACCTCCACCCGCAGGTAGGCCCTAGCGGGCCTAATGCCCCCATCCTCGCTGAGCTAGGCAGAATGATGCAAACGGTTTCTGGACCTGCTTTATGTGCAGGCGATTGGAACCTGACCCCAGAAGCCTTGGAGGCGTCGGAGTTTCCTGTCCTGGCGGATTTGTGCGTGCTGGCGCCTGCGGTGCCAACTTGTCGAGGGGGGACAGGTTCCAGCATCATTGATTTTTACTGTTTGAATGATACCTTAATGCGAGGTTTTAAGAAGCTAACGGTTGATATGCGCTGGACGGTTAAGCCTCATCGGCCTATCCGTCTAGCTATCTCTGACAACGGGTATAAGCTCAAACATCTAGTTTACTCAGTTACCCCTGCGCTGCCCAAAGAGTTCCCGATAGGCCCTGCTCCTCAACCACCCACCTGGTCCATCGAGCAGCGTCTAGCCGAGGATGCCTGCGAGGCTGCTTTGGATCCTTCGGTTGCTCCGAGCGTGGCCTGGGCCATGCTTTCGAATGCCTGGGGTCGTTTCGCCACTACAGCGGCCAGATACCTTGGTGAGAGGGCGGGGCAGCCTTTGAAGAACCCATGGGCTTTCGGGCGATGTTTAAAAGCGCGGTGGGTCGAAGTTTGTTGTACGACTAAGACCTCCAGTGATGTGCAAGCGATCGCCGACGGCTGGAAGTGGCTCCAAAATGCTGTTGGTCAGGTCCTGGTCTTCTCCCGCGTGGCCGACACGGCGCAAAATCAGATGATGCTTGCACAAGAGGTCTCAAGTTTTTTAGTTGATGAATTCCCAGGCCTGGGGTTGAGTGCTCGCCTAGAGAGGTCCGTTCAAGTGGCGAGAGGTTTAGTCAGCACTGAGGAAATAGACTCCGAGGCGCTGCAAAGTTTTTTAGACGATATAGACTCAGATGTCGAGTTTGCAGCTAAAGGAGAAAGTAAGGAACAGAGAGACTCGTGGCACGACTGGTGTGTGGCCGCTCGAGCAGCAGGGTCGCGAGGCTTTCACAAGATCACTGCTGTCCGCCAGGTCCGAGCTGCTACGATAGTGCAAGGCCCGAATGGACCCACTGCGGACACCATCAGTATTGTGCAAAACGAGGTATCGCTGTATAAGAAACTCTGGGGTGCGACGTCGGAGCCTCCTCGGGCGTGGATCCCTGATCGGTCGTCTTGTGAACGAGCTTCTGTTACAGCGATACGAGAGGTAGGACGCACTTTTTCGCGCAGTACCTCCAGCAGTCTTGATCATTTTCACCCGCGTTTTGTGTTGGCCCTGGACGATTCAGGACTTGAGGTTTTAAGTTCTCTTTGGCAGGCCTGCGAGGCCATCGGTTTGCTCCCTCGGCAGCTTTTGTGGGTGGTCCAACCCATGCTCCCAAAACCCAAAGGGGGAAACCGTCTCATCGTTCTTTATGCTGGCATGTACCGTGTTTGGCAAAGACTGCGGCGCCCACTGCTGACGGAGGTGAATCGTCTGGTCGATCGTCGTTACTGGGGGGCGTCGAAAGGTCGTTCAGCAGTGGATTGCGCCTGGCTCCAGGCAGCGCGCAGTGAGAGCGATGCCGAGCAGAATAAGCACAGCGTTTTAATAGTGGCCGATTTTTCGAAGTATTACGAAACGATTCCCCTAGAAGCTCTCAGGGACAAGTTTTTGAGGTTCAACGTGCCGCTTAGTTTCCTGAAACTGGTTTATAATGTTTGGAAGGGCCCGCGACTCTTGCGGCTAGGTCAGCACCATGCCCAGAGTGTGCTCTTCGCAGAAGGAGGGCTGCCCGCGGGAGATGTCTTTAACGATATCTCGATCAAGATACACGCGGTTCAGGAATTCGATTCCTTCCTAGTCAGGCAGCCTTTTATCGATTTTCTCAGCTATATAGACGACAGTGCCATCGGAATAGCTAGCAGTGACAGGCAGATAGCCAAGTCTATGGCCGTCTCAGCAGGTAGAGATTTCAAACTTTGTGTGCAAGAGCTTCAGGCCAAGCTGAATGATAAGATAGCGGTAATTTCCAGTACAGACGGCCTAGCCAGAGAGGTTTGCAAAGAATTATGTTTCCCTCGCGAGGCTGCACTAACGAGTGTTGCGTAT